CTTGCGGGCAGGCAGTGGCTAGACTGCTGCTAGCTGGATGGGTTAGACCTGAAAGAAAAATAAAATAAGTCAGTAGTGCAACGGAAACTCGTAAAGCTCCAACTCCCTAGGACAGAGCACCTGGGAACAAAAAGTGCTTTATGAGTTCAGCTGCAGCAGAACTAAACATACGTGCCCAGCAGCTCTGAACGAACAACGGAGCTCACAGCTCAGGACTTAAGCCCCAATAAAAGATAGACTGTCTCCTCAAGTAGCTCCCTGACCCCCATAGATTCAAAGATGCACCTCATAAAGGAGAGAACGGACTGAGAGAAGGCGAGCATTCTTCTGGGACAAAGATAGCAGAAAAGGAAACTGGCAGCAACCCTTACTGTTCTACAGCTGCTGCAGGTGACCCCCAGACAAGCAGGCCCCCAGAGGACCTCAGCAGTCCTATAGCAGAGGGGCCAGACTGTTAGAAGGAAAGCTTAAAAAAAAAAAAAAGAAGTAACTTCAGCATCCACGAACTAGAAGCTCACTCAGAGACCCAATCTGAAAGACAGTAATTACAAAGACAACAGGTGGATAAACCCACAAAAATGGGAAGAAACCAGCACAAAAAGGATGAAAACTCCCGAAACCAGAACACCTCTCCTCCTAAAAGGGATCACAACTCCTCCCAGCAAGAGAACAAGACTGGATGGACAAGGAGTGTGATGAAATGACAGAATCAGACTTCAGAAGGTGGGTAGTAAGAAACTACAGTGAGCTAAAAGAACATGTTCTAACCCAACGTAAACAAAATAGGAACCTTGAAAAAATATTGGACGAACTGCTGACGAGAATGGACAGCATAGACAGGATTATAAGTGAATTGATGGGGCTGAAAAACACAACACGAGAACTCCGTGAAGCATGCACAAGCTTCAACAGCCGAATTGACCAAGCAGAAGAAAGGATATCAGAGGTCGAAGATCAACTCAATGAAATAAAAAGAGAAGGCAAGAACAGAGAAAAAAGCGCAAAAAGGAATGAACAAAATCTTCAAGAAATGTGGGACTATGTGAAAGACCCAATCTACGTCTGATAGGTGTACCTGAATGTGATGAAGAGAATGAATCCAAGCTGGAAAGTACTCTTCAGGATATTATCCAGGAAAACTTCCCCAAACTAGCAAGGAAGACCAATATTCAAATCCAGGAAATACAGAGAACGCCACAAAGATACTCCTCAAGAAGAGCAACCCCAAGGCACATAATCGTCAGATACACCAGGGTTGAAATGAAAGAGAAAATGCTAAGGGCAGCCAGAGAGAAAGGTCGGGTTACCCACAAAGGGAAGCCCATTAGACTCACAGCAGATCTCTCAGCAGAAACCCTACAAGCCAGAAGAGATTGGGGGCCAATATTCAACCCAGAATCTCCTATCCAGCCAAACTAAGCTTCCTAAGTGAAGGAAAAATAAAATCCTTTGTGAACAAGCAAGCACTCAGAGAATTCACCACCACCAAACCTGCTCTACAAGATCTCCTGAAAGAGGCTCTACACGTATAAAGGAACAACCAGTACCAGCCACTTCAAAAACACACCAAATGGTAAAAGAGCATCAACACAATCAAGAATCTGCATCAACTAACCAACAAAACAGCCAGGTAGCATCAAAATGACAGCATCAAATTCACACATAACAATACTATCCCTAAATGTCAATGGACTAAATGCCCCAATCAAAAGACACAGATGGCAAATTGGATAAAAAGCCAAAACCCATCAGTGTGCTGTATCCAGGAAACCCATCTTACATTCAAGGATACACAAAGTCTCAAAATAAAGGGATGCAGGAAGATCTACCAAGCAATTGGAGAGCTAAAAAAAGCAGGAGTTGAAATTCTCATCTCTGATAAAATAGACTTTAAAGCAACAAAGATCAAAGGAGACAAAGAAGGACTTACATAATGGTAAAAGGATCACTGCAACAAGAAGAGCTAACGATCCTAAATATATATGCACCAACTACAGGAGCACCCAGATACATAAGGCAAGTTCTTAATGACTTACAAAGAGACTTAGACTCCCACACAATAATGGTGGGAGACTTTAACACCCCATTGTCGATATTAGACAGATCAACCAGACAGAAAATCAACAAAGATATCCAGGACCTGAACTCAGACTTGGAACAAGCAAATCTAATAGAGATTTACAGAACTCTCCACCCCAAGTCCACAGAATATATGTTCTGCTCAGCAGCACATCACACCCACTGTAAAATTGACCACAGTGCAATCGAGTTAGAACTCAAAATGCAGAAACTGACTCAGAACCACACAGCTTCTTGGAAACTGAACAACATGCTCTTGAATGTTGACTGGATAAACAATGAAATGACGGCAGAAATAAAGATGTTCTTCGAAACGAATGAGAACGAAGACACAACATACCAGAGTCTCTGGGATACATTTAAAACAGTATCTAGAGGAAAATATATAGCAATGAGTGCCCACATGAGAAGAAAGGAGAGATCTAAAATTGACACGCTATCATCAAAATTGAAAGAGCTAGAGGAGCAAGATCAAAACAATCTCAAAACTTAGCAGAAGACAGGAATTAACTAAGATCAGAGCAGAACTGAAGGAAATAGAGACACAAAAAACTCTTCAAAAAATCAATAAATCCAGGAGCTGGTTTTTTGAAAAGATCAACAAAATAGACCACTAGCCAGATTAATAAAAAACAAAAGATAGAATAAACAAATGGATGCAATAAAAAATGATAAAGGGGATATCACCGGAGATTCCATAGAAATACAAACCATCATCAGAGATTATTACAAACAACTCTATGCACATTAACTAGTAAACCTGGAAGAAATGGATAAATCCCTGGACACCTGCATCCTCCCAAGCCTAAACCTGGAAGAAGCCAAAACCCTGAATAGACCAATAACATGGTCTGAAGTCGAGGCAGCAATAAAGAGCCTACCACCCAAAAAAAGCCCAGGTCCAGATGGGTGCATAGCCGAATTCTACCAGACATACAAAGAGGAGCTGATACCATTCCTTCTGAAACTATTCCAGACAATCCTAAAAGAGGGAATCCTTCCCAAATCATTTTACGAGAAAAACATCATCCTGATACCAAAATCCGGCAGAGACTCAACAAGAAAAGAAAATTTCAGGCCAATATCCATGATGAACATAGATGCAAAAGTCTTCAATAAAATACTGGCCAACAGATTGCAACAGCATATCAAAAAGCTCATCCACCATGATCAAGTAGGATTCATCCCGGGGACGCAAGGCTGCTTCAACATACGCAAGTCCATAAACGTAATTCACCACATAATCAGAACCAAAGACAAAAACCACATGATTATCTCAATTGATGCAGAGAAGGCTTTCGACAAAATTCAACAACGCTTTATGCTAAAAACCCTCAATAAACTAGGTATTGATGGAACGTATCTCAAAACAATAAAAGCTATTTATGACAAACCAACAGCCAATATCATAGTGAATGGGCAAAAACTGGAAGCATTCCCTTTGAAATCTGGCACTAGACAAGGATGCCCTCTCTCACCACTCCTATTCAATATAGTACTGAAAGTTCTAGCCAGAGCAATCAGGCAAGAAAAAGAAATAAAGGGTATCCAAATTGGAAAGGAGAAAATCAAATTGTCTCTATTTGCAGATGACATGATTGTATATCTGGAAGACCCCACCATCTCAGCCCAAAGTCTCCTGAAACTGATAAACAACTTCAGCAAAGTCTCAGGATACAAAATCAACGTGAAAAATCCCAAGCTTTCCTATACACCAGTAACAGACTTCAAGAGAGCCAAATCAAGAACGAACTGCCATTCACAATTGCTACAAAGAGAATAAAATACCTAGCAATACAACTAACAAGGAACGTAAAGGACCTCTTCAAGGAGAACTACAAGCCATTGCTCAATGAAATAAGAGAGGATACAAACAGATGGAGAAACATTCCATGTTCATGGTTAGGAAAAATCAACATCGTGAAAATGGCCATACTGCCCAAAGTAATTTACAGATTCAACGCTATTCCCATCAAGCTACCAATGACCTTCTTCACAGAACTGGAAAAAAACACCTTAAACTTCATATGGAACCAAAAGAGAGCCCGCATAGCCAAGTCAATTCTAAGCAAAAAGAACAAAGCAGGAAGCATCACACTACCGGACTTCAAACTATACTACAAGGCTACAGTAATCAAAACAGCATGGTACTGGTACCAAAACAGAGACATAGACCAATGGAACATAATAGGGGCCTCACAGGAAATACAACATACCCACAACCATCTGATCTTCGACAAACCTGACAAAAACAAGCAATGGGGAAAGGACTGCCTGTTTAATAAATGGTGTTGGGAAAACTGGCTAGCCATGTGCAGAAAGCAGAAACAGGACCCCTTCCTGACACCTTACACCAAAATTAACTCCAGATGGATTAAAGACTTAAACATCCGACCTAACACCATAAAAACCCTAGAAGAAAATCTAGGCAAAACCATTCAGGACATAGGTGTAGGCAAGGACTTCATGACCAAAATGCCAAAAGCAAGGGCATCAAAAGCCAAAATAGACAAATGGGACCTAATCAAACTCCACAGCTTCTGCATGGCAAAAGAAACAGTCAATAGAGTGAATCGGCAACCAACACAATGGGAAAAACTTTTTGCAGTCTACCCATCTGACAAGGGGCTGATATCCAGAATTTACAAAGAACTAAAGCAGATCTACAAGAAAAAAACAAACAAGCCCATTCAAAAATGGGCGAAGGATTTGAACAGATACTTTACAAAAGAAGACATACAGGAGGCCAACAAACATATGAAAAAATGCTCATCATCACTGGTCATCAGAGAAATGCAAATCAAAACCACATTGAGATACCATCTCACACCAGTTAGAATGGCGATCATTTAAAAATCTGGAAACAACAGATGCTGAAGTGGATGTGGAGAAATAGGAACACTTTTTTTTTTTTCCAATCTAACATTTATTTATTTCCGGTGGTTTTTTTTTGTTTTTTGCAACTATAAATTACATTCACTAGTACACCTGTAATTCTTCATAGTGTGTTCAACTGAAGAATAAGCAAACACAGCATAGGTCAGTTTAAAAGAAATCATAGTATTTCTTAGAACAATTTGCAAAAGGGAAAAAAGTCTTAGGCCCACTCTCTGGAAATAAATATCAAGTAACCATAAAAATATTCAGCCATTTTTCAGTTATTTAAGGAGTTCACGCATGGTCCCACGCAGAGCATCAGAGTTTTATTATTGGGTTATTATTTGAAATAACCCAACTTTGCCAGTGACATCTCTTTTCTCAACTGCATAACTTCCCAAAACATCTGATCAAAATCCTGCTGTTTCACGAGTCCCTGCTGAATGTATCGAATGTATGTAAAAAGGTTACATACAGAAGTGATCCTGTATCTGCAAAAAGGAGAAATATAATAATAGTTGCTTGAGTCCCCTAATTTAATTCTGTGTTTACAGTAGTTACTCTGGCCAGTAAGAGCACATTTTTTTGGTCCGCCACATTCAACTGCAGAAACTTTCAGAAACCGGATAGGTTGTAATCCCACTAGTTCAATGCTTAGAGTATTGTTTTCCACAGACTCCAGAACAGTCGAAGCGAACTCGCTTTTTGAGAATGTTAAACATGGAAAGATATCTTCCTGGTAGATTTTGTCTAAAAAAGGACACGTTCTGTCCATTGTGGGCACATCCTTCCACAATCAGAACTCATTATACAAGGATAAGTCAGCCTCTTTGCAGTCTTTCACAATTGGCTGTATCACACTGAGGTCCTGATGACTGCCACTCATAGCACTGCTTGTGCTTTTATTTCTTGTATGCCCCTTTTTAAAAGGTGTCTTTCCACCTGGCAGAGGCTCCTGTGTAGGTGAAGTTGGAGAACTGGACAATACAAGTGTCTTCAATGCAGCTACTTCAGCTTGAAGTACATCATTTTTTCCTTGTGCTTCTTTTAGCTGTTTTTCTGCTGTTGCCTGCTTGATATTTGCTTCTCTCACCATTTTATGAGCTTCCTCAAATAGACTAGCTGTGAGTTCTTCCAATTCCTGTCCAAGTTGATCTCGCACTTTTGAAAGCCTCTCACATTCTTCATCTTTTAACTTCAGTTCCCTGTGAGCTTTTGCAAGTTCTTCTTTTAGTGGTTCATAGCACTTTTCTCTAACTTCCAAAACAGATGGGCTTCGTAAACGAGACAAACTATCAGTACTCAACCCAAAAATATCATCGCTGCCATCGCAAACCTCTGTTATAGTAGCACCCTGTAAAAACTCTCTCTCTGCATTATAGTTGTCCTTTCTTGTAGATAATTTAGTTAACCCAACTGTGACTCCAGAGGTAGAACAAGGTGCTGGGTCTGTAACATGAAAGCTGATACTAGATATTTCCGCACAATTTAAACGTCTGGGGGATGAATACACGGGTTGTGTGAGAAGTTCAGAAACATCTAACGCATTTGCCTGGATAGATACAGAGCATAAAGCTGAAGGGTGTGGCCGGTAGATGACAATTGGTGAGGTAGTCTGCTCTTGAGTTCCTGACTCATACACACCAAGAAGGTCCGGAGAAGTAGGCGAAGCAAGGTTTACTTCATGGAAGCCTTCCAAGGGATCATTACCCATAGCAAAAGCCTCATCATAAGATAACCTGACTAACCCACCACGGCCGCGGCCGGCGCTCAGGGGCGCTCATAGAGCCGCAGAGAGTGCGCCCCGAAGCAGAGAGAGGAGGAGGAGGGCGGCCAGCCCTTCCCCGAAATAGGAACACGTTTACACTGTTGATGGGAATGTAAATTAATTCAACCATGTGGAAGACAGTGTGGTGATTCCGCAAGGACCTAAAAATAGAAATCCCGTTTGACCCAGCAATCCCATTACTGGTTATATATCTAAAGGATTATAAATCATTCTACTATAAGGACACGTGCACACGAATGTTCATTGCAGCACTGTTTACAATAGCGAAGACCTGGAACCAACCCAAATGCCCAAATGTGGTTACATATACACCATGGAATATTACGCAGCCATCAAAAACGATGAGTTCAGGTCCTTTGTAGGTTCATGGATGAACCTGGAAACCATCATACTCAGCAAACTGACACAAGAGCAGAAAATCAAACACCATATATTCTCACACATCGGCGGGAGTTGAACAATGAGAACACATGGACACAGGGAGGGGAACAGTACACACTGGGGGCCTTTGGGGAGAAATGGGGGAGGGACGGGGCGTTTGGAGGTGGGAAGAGATAGCATGGGGAGAAATGACAGATACAGGTGAGGGGACGGAAGACAGCAAACCACACTGTCATGTGTGTACCTAGGCAACAATCTTGCATGTTCTTCACATGGACCCCCAAACCTAAAATGCAATAAAAACAAAAAAAAGAAAGAAAAAGAAATAAATTGCATTTCATGTTATAAAAAATCATGAAACCAGACATGATTTTTATAGATACCATAACAATTTAAATAAACGGCTGGGTAAACATTTTAGGTACTGTGAGTCCTGGAGTCTCTGTTGGAACAACTCAAGTTTACTGTGTATCAGGAAAGGTTTCATCAACCATACATAAACAAACAGGCATAGCGGTGTTCTAATAAAATGATATTTTAAAAACCAAAAAAAAAAAAGAAAGAAACACGTTTCTTCCAAAAGCAGCGTTTGGACATTCCAGAGTGAAAGTGAGTTCAGGCTGTAATGTGAAATATCTGGCTATAAAACAAAAACAGAGCTATTTATCAGAATGGTTGTCAATGTGTGCATTCACCTTACAGAGTTAAACTGATGTGTGTTTGCAGCAGATCAAAACCCTTTCTCTGGAAGATGTAGAAACAGTCATTTTCAGCTCTATAGTCGCATATAAGATTTAGCAGTAAGAATACCTTTAAAAGAAAGAAGACCCGCTTCTTACAAACTGATCTGCTGTGTGTTGGTTCCTTTTAGGAAGTTGCATCTATGTTTAGATTTAGCGAGTTCCAAACACGTTTCTTCCAAAAGCTGCGTTTGGACATTCCCGTGTGAAAGGGAGTTCAGGCTGTAATCTGAAATACCTGGCTCTAAAACAAAAACGAAGCTATCTAACAGAATGGTTGTCAAAGTGCACATTCAACTTAAACAGTTACACTGATGTGTGTTTGCAGCAGATCAGAAAACCTTTCTTTGTTGAATGTAGAAACACTCATTTCCAGCCCTATAGTGGCATATATTAGTTAGCAGTAAGAATGCCTTTAAAATACAGAGGGCCCGCTTCTTACAAACTGATCTGCTGTGTGTTGGTTCCTTTTAGAAAGTTTCATTTATGTTTATATTCAGCGAGCTAGAAACACGTTTTTACCAAAAGCTGCATTTGGACATTCAAGAGTGAAAGGGAGTTCATGCTGTAATGTGAAATGTCTGGCTCTAAAACAAAAACGGAGCTATCTAGGAGAATGCTTGTCAATGTGTGCATTCAACGTACAGAGGTAAACTGTTGTGTGATTGCTACAGTTCAGAAACGCTTTCTTTGGAGAATTTAGAAAGTCATTTCCAGCCCTATAGTGGCATATAAGAATTAGCTGTAAGAATGCCTTTAAAACACAGAAGACACGCTTCTCACAAACTGATCTGCTGTGTGTTGTTTCCTTTTAGGAAGTTGTATCTATGTTTAGATTCAGCGAGTTAGAAACACGTTTCTACTAAAAGTTGCCTTTGGACATTCCAGAGTGAAAGGGATTTCAGGCTGTAATGTGAAATATCTGGCTCTAAAACAAAAATGGAGCTATCTTGCAGAATAGGTGTCAATGTGTGCATTCAACTTACAGAGTTAAAATGATGTGTGTTTGCAGCATTTCAGAAACCCTATCTTTAGAAAATGTTGAAACAGTCATTTCAAGCCATATAGTGGCATATGATAGTAAGAAGTAAGAATGCCTTTAAAACACAGAAGACACGCTTCTTACAAACTGATCTGCTGTGTGTTGGTTCCTTTTAGGACGTTGCATCTATGTTTAGATTCAGTGAGTTCCAAACATGTTTCTTCCAAAAGCTGCATTTGGACATTTCAGTGTGAAAGGGAGTACAGGCTGTAATGTGAAATATCTGGCTCTAAAACAAAAACGGATGTATCTAGCAGAATGGTTGTCAATGTGTGCATTCAATTTACAGGGATAAATTGATGTGTGTTTGCAGCAGTTCAGAAACCATTTCTTTGGAGAATGTAGAAACAGTCATTTCCAGCCCTTTAGTGGCATATAAGAGTTAGCAGGAAGAATGCGTTTCAAACACAGAAGACCCGCTTCTTACAAACTGATCTGCTGTGTGTTGGTTCCTTTTAGGAAGTTGCATCTATTTTTAGATTCAGCGAGTTAGAAACACATTTCTTCCAAAAGCTGCATTTGGACATTCCAGAGTGAAATTCACGCTGTAATGTGACATACCTGGCTGTAAAACAAAAACGGAGCTATCCAGCAGAATGGTTGTCAATGTGTGCATTGAAATTACAGACGTAAATTGTTGTGGGTTTGCAGCAGTTCAGAAACCCTTTCTTTGGTGAATGTAGAAACAGTCATTTCCAGCCCTATAGAGGCATAAGATAGTTAGCAGTAAGAATGCCTTTAAAACACAGAGGACCCGCTTCTTACAAACTGATATGTGGTGTGTTGGTTCCTTTTAATAAGTTGCAACTATGTTTAGATTCAGCGAGTTAAGAACACGTTTATTCCAAAAGCTGCGTTTGGACTTTCCAGAGTGAAAGGAAGTTCAGGCTGTAATGTGAAATATTTGGCTCTAAAACAAAAACGGAGCTATCTAGCAGAATGATTGTCAATGTGTGCATTCAACTTACAGAGTTAAACAGAGGTGTGTTTTCAGCAGTTCATAAACCCCATATTTACAGATTGTTGAAACAGTCATTTCCAGCCCTATAGTGGTATACGATAGTCAGCAGTTAGAATGCCTTTAAAACACAGAAGACCCACTTCTTACAAACTGATCTGCTGTGTGTTGGTTCCTTCTAGGAAGTTGCCTGTATGTTTACATTCAGCAAGTTAGAAACAAGTTTCTTCCAAAAGCTGCGTTTCGACATTCCAGAATGAAAGGGAGTACAGGCTCTAATGTGAAATATCTGGCTCTAAAAAAAAGACGGAGCTATCTTTCAGAATGGTTGTCAGTGGCTACATTTATCTTAAAGAGTTAAATTGATGTGTGTTTGCGGCAGTTCAGAAACCCTTTCTTTGGAGAATGTAGAAACAGTCATTTCAAGTCCTATTTTGACATATAAGAGTTAGCAGTCCGCCGACTTTCAAGATGGCCGCCTAAGAACAGCTCAGGACTTCAGCTCCCAGTGAAAGTGCAGAGGGTGAGTGGACGCCGCATTTCCAGACGAACTCTTATTGCCCACAGACCAGGAGATACCCAGGCAGAGGGGTCGCCAGCGTCGCAGTCCCAGCCGCTGCGGCTGTTTTGGCCCCCGCGGGGCTGATTCCGCCCGCGCGGCTGCTGTAACCACTCCCTGTTGCTGCGGTTCTCCGTACAAAAGCCACTGGTCTGGGAGCCCTCTTAGCTGGCGAGCAGAGCCCTGAGACGGCAGAATAGCCCATTCATCTGAAATAGCGAGCCAGGCCAGGAGATTCCTAGGCAAAAAATCCGCCAGGAGCCGGCGCCGCGGTTCGAGCTGACTCCGTGAGTCGCAGCACGGGAGATCCCGGCGCCTTTTCAACAAGCGACCGGAACGCGGGGTCGTTCAACTTAAAAGAAAAGACTCTGAGTCAGGGAGCCAGGTGATCAGGCTCGGTTGGTCCCACCCCTCCACCCCCAACAACAACGAAAACAAAAACAGTAATTGGAAACCCTCTGGGTTGAGCCCTTCAAACCAAGCACAGCTGAACCGGGACAGTCCGGCTCCGTGGGGGAGGGGCTTCCACCATTACTGAGACTCTCCACCGCTACGGAGGCAGGCTGCCATTGCCGAGGCAACCCACCGTTGCCGAGGCAACCTGCCACAACAGAGAGAGTCCGCCATAACAGAGGCGGGGCCACCATTGCCCAGACAGTTCTAACTACGCCCATATAAAAAGGACTACAGGGAAGAGCTCAGGACAGCTGGGCGGAGCCCACAGCAGCTCAGCAAAGCCCCTGCGGGCAGGCAGAGGCTAGGCTTGCTGCTAGCTGGGCGGGTCCGACCTGAAAAAAAAAAAAAATCAAAAAGGCAGTAGTGCAAGGGAAACTCATAAAGCTCCAACTCCCTGGGACAGAGACAGACAACAGGTGGATAAACCCACAAAAATGGGTAGAAACCAGCGTAAAAAGGAGGAAAACTCCCGAAACCAGAACACCTCTCCTCCTAAAAGTGATCACAACTCCTCACCAGCAAGGGAACCAGACCGGATGGAGAAGGAGGGTGATGAAATGACAGAATCAGACTTCAGAAGATGGGTAGTAAGAAACTACAATGAGCTAAAAGAACATGTTCTAACCCATCGCAAAGAAAATAGGAACCTTGAAAAAAGATTGGACGAACTGCTGACGAGAATGGACAGCATAGAGAGGAGAATAAGTGAATTGATGGAGCTGAAAAACGCAACACGAGAACTTCGTGAAGCATGCACAAGCTTCAACAGCCGAATTGACCAAGCAGAAGAAAGGATATCAGAGGTCGAA